CTTCCTGAGCTCTCCAGATATGGTTAGGATCCACCTCTGTGCTCTCCAGCACTCATTGCAACCTCTATTTCTGTACTTACTCCATGGTTTGCAGTGATCTACTTATATGTGTTTCCACCACTAGACTAGGAACTTCTTGAGCTCAGGCTTTGGGTCTTAGTCTCAGCAGCCCCGTGTCCATAACAGGATCTGGCATATGGTAGATGCTCAGTGGAAATGCATTTGGTGAACGAGTGGCTGACATAGGGTATGATACCTACCAACCAAGAGCTAAGGAAGCATGAAGGAAGATCCCAATCTAAAGATGGAGAGGGCATCCCACAGAAGGCAAGAAGACCTTTTTTCCCCCAGACAGCTGAGAGCATTCTGAGCTTAGGGATTGTGTGTAGAAGCATGGAAACAGAAAGGGACATAGCATGGCTGGGGCTAGGTAAGGAAGTCAGCATGGTTAAAGCAGAGGGCATGTCAGGGTGGGAAGAGTGATGGGGCTGGGGATTGCAAATTATGAAGGGCCTTGAAAGTTGGGATAAAGAGCTTAAATTTTATGCTTTAGACCAACGGGGAGGATTTGAAGCAGGCATCTGATGTGTTCAGATTTGTATTTTCAAAAGATCATTTGAGCTGCAATTGCAGACAGGATTGGAGAGGGAAGGATTAGAAGCCAGAAGATGAGGAAGGAAAATAGTGTAATAGTCCAGGAAAAAGAGCACTAGGTCTGAACTAAGGCAGTAGCAGAGATCATTGAGAGGCGAGAATGTGTGTGATCATGTGTTCGCATTCACAACACTCGGTGACCATAGGATGCAGGAGGAGAAAGGACTTCCCTTTGACTTGTATGCTGCTGGGAACTCAATGGACAGAGGAATCACTTGCTGGGATACAGAACACAGGACGCAGGTGCACACATCGAATTTATGGTGTCCATGGTGTGTTCAAGTGGAGGTAGCTAGAAAGTGGGTCTGGAGCTCAGCAACGCAGAGATACTACTTGAAGTGGTGGGTGTGATTGAGACAGACCACGGAGAATGCGAGGGGTAAAAAGCAAGAGGGTCAACAGTGAATGCTCACAGAACAGCAATATTTAAGAAGTAGGAAAAAACAGCCCATCAAAGAGACTGAGAGGGGTTGGTCAGATTGGAGGAGAACTAGGAGCGTGTGGTATCGCGACAGCCGAGGGAGACGGAGGTGGCCAGGAGAGGGTGATCCGCAGTGTTAGTAAGCTGTCGGGTAAGTCGAGGATTAGAACATGTCCACTCGGTGGCCTTGCTGAGAGCAGTTTCAGCAGAGTGATGGAGAGAGACACCGGGGTGCAGTAGGTTGAGGGATGAAGGACGTTGAGGAGGTGGAGTCAGGGAGTCTTGAAGCCTGGATTTGAAGGGCGAGGAGAAGAGCTAGTATCCTGAAGACATTGGGTTGAGAGAAGACTTTTGCTGTAGATGGGAGGGATTCCTTTGCATGCTGAAGGGAAAGATGCAGTGGGGTATCAAGTGTGGGGTGGTGGGACTGGTCTGCCCCAGGAGGAAGTACTTTGCTACTGATGTGGATTAGAATTGCCGGCATGCGTTGCTAATAAAAAGCAGGCCAACTTTGAGTCAGTTCCATTACTGTTTTTAAATACTCTGTAGTCAGTGCCCTTATTGCCTGCATCTGAAATGGAGGGCTTTTACTGCCCCGACCCCTTGTTATGTCACTGCAAAGAGCCCGTAAAGGAGGAGCAGTGTGAGAACGTGGAGGGAAGTGGACTGATAGAATTCAGTCTTTGTGGATGAAAAGGGAAGGTATACAGAATGAAGATGCAGGGGCTGGCCTTCCACAGAAGGAGGCTCACCCCTTCTTCTAGGACTGGAAGAAAGGAGGAGAAGGGAGATGGGTGCGGATGTAGGTGTTCATAGGTTTTGATGTCTCTTCTCCCTGGGAGGTAGGAGGGAGGGCATCTGTACCAGTGGACAGCAAGATCCTTGCCTGTTTTATTCATTGCTGTATATTTTTAGAGCCTACAACAGCACCTAGCTCATAGTAAATGATCAAAAATATTTGTTGAGGGGCCGGCCCGGTGGCGCACTGGATAGTGCGCCGCTTGGGAAGCGCGGCGGCGCTCCCGCCCGAGGGTTTGGATCCCACATACAGACCGGCTCCCGCTCACTGGCTGAGCGAGGCACGGGAGCAACACTGAGGGTTGCGATCCCATTGCTGGTCCTGGTCCGGTACGGGGGTGACACTGAGGGTTGCGATCCGTTGCCGGACATGGAAAAAGACAAAAAATATATATATATATATTTGTTGAATGAATGGATCAGGGGCTGGAGGAGGTTTGGATTCACACTCTGGGGGGAGAGAGAGAGGTACTTAGGAACTCAATTCCATTTCTGAATTGTGTTGAGCTGAGACTAGAGAAAGGCCGCTTATAATGCCATCAGCTCTGCCTTGGGGAGCGGGGAGCAGGAGAGGATCTCAGGGAAAGCTTCACAAGGGAGGTGTTATTCAAACTGGGGTTTGGAGAAGTATAGAAGTTTGCCAGGAGAAAAGGGATTTAAGAAATTATAGAACAAGACCCAAAGGTGTGAAAGGAAGAGTTCAGTGTGGTGTGGGTAGGGTTATTGGCAGTGGGGAACTCTGGTGGGGGGGGTCTTAGGAAGGGAAGTGAAATGGTCAGATTTGTATTCAGAAAGTTAAGGCCTTCCATGTATCTTCTGCAGCTAAGTACCGACACCTCTCTAAAGGCAGATGGTTGTGGAAGAGGGGACAGAGCAAAAATATTTTCTTCTTTGTGTTTCTCTCTTTAGTGACCCTGAGTTGTTCCCCTCTCTTAGCCTCTAGAAGAATTAGTGAAAGAATTGGGGTTTCTCTTGGGGCAGGGGGCAGATCAGGGCATATAACCTGTATCTTCAAATCTCTGTAGGACTGCCTAGGAGCCAAGAGACACAAGAATATGTTCTCTGAGGGCACCCTGAGACTCTGTGATGGGGTGGCATGAGGGGGAGGCTAATTTGGGCTCATCATAAGAAGCACTCCCTGCCAGCGTTGTTCAGCAAAGGTATCCTCAGAAGGTATCCTCCATTATGATGTGTATGAACAAAGACTGTGGCTACTGCTAGGAGAGCTACTGGAGGACCAGGCAGGTGGGAGCTGAACTAGATGACCTCTGAAATTCTGACTCTGACCTCGAGGAAGAGAGGGGCTGGCAGTTGCTGTTGGGAATCCCTTTCTGAGTCTGCTGTTCAACACACACCTCTTCTAAACAGAGCCTCTCAGACTCTGAGAGGTTACTGCTGTCTCTGCTGGGACCACCCATCTCTAGAACAGACCCCCTCCTATCACAGGGGAAGGGAGCCTCCAGCATTCTTTCCCTATTGCTGGAGGACCCTGCAATCGCCTCTCTGGGTTCCTCACCATCTCTCTTTTTTCACAACAAAGGGAGGAAGGCCATGGTGATTGTTTCCACTTGACTTATTTTTTTGTCTTTTGTCTTTTTGTTCCGTGTCCGGCAACGGATCGCAACCCTCAGTGT